CAGGAATGTCAACAACTTTTTCCAAACGAAAACCGCTTTCCATGGAAGTAACACGCTTTCCATGGAAGCCGCCTTCTCACAGGCGACCTTTAAAGGGGGGAGGATGGCACGCGCCCTGGCCACGCGTTACTAAAAATAACACACGGCAAAAGTGCTACCACATAAAGTCGCCTCAGCACGGTCTAGACGCGCCCTGGCTACGCGTTACTAAAAATAACACACGGCAAAAAGTGCTACCACATAAAACCGCCTCAGCACGGTCTAGAGAGATATGTTTTCCAACAAGGCAAAACAGAATATCCAACACATGCGGTCACGATAACATGTTCATATAACAAAAAACGAAAATGCCTTGCCATTGATTGTTTCAGGAAAAAACTAAGGGGAAATCAAATTCCTGGAGATCCCCCGCTCGCGGCATCACCCCCCTCGGCGGTTTCTTCCTCATCGTCCGCTGCCTCCCCTTCTTCTTCCTCTTCCTCATCATCCGCCTCGGAGTTCACATCCGCATCGGTCCAACCGCCAACCGCATCCCAAACCAGGTTCGCGTCCCAAGCCACGTCAGGGGCCTCTTGGCGGAATAAGTGGCGAATGGCGGCCACAACATCGCCAACGATCTTCTGATACTTAGCCTTGTCCAGCATTTGGAACTCGGCCGACGCCACATAGGCGGGACCAGCTTCAGCACGAGCGGCGGCTACCTCTGCATCACGACTCTCTATCAAAGCGGTCTTGTCAAGCTTGAGAGCAGCTACCTCCTTGCTAAGTGACTCCTGTTCTTCCAACAGAGTCTTTTCGATCTCCTTCGATTGCTGAAGCTTCGCTCGGAGTCCATCCCGCTCCATAAGAACCGCTTGGTGCGCTGCCTTCTCTGCCACCGACTCCTCTCTCTGCTTCGCCAGCTTCTCCTCAAAACCGCGCTCCTGCTCCGACCGCACTTCCTCCTTTAGCTTCACGCGCTCCTCCTGGAGGCTTTTCTTCAGCTTTGCAATTTCCACCGTGTTCTCGTCCACGGTCTTCGAGAGGCGGTCATTCAACATGATGATCTGGGAAAACCCGATCTGAGCCTGAAAAGAAAAACCGCAAGGTTAGCAACCTAAGCATCGCCCAATAAAATAAAATAGCCTTCGAATACACAACCATACTTACCGAGAAGAAAAACTGAGAGGCGATTCCAGCCAACCTTCGATTACATCCTTCCGAGGATGAAGTGTACTCCGAAGGCATGACCAGGCGGTCGCTGATAGTGTGAAGGGCTAGCTCGGCGGCCTCGGTGTCGGTGGCAGCCAAAGGAGACACCTCCACGGGTTGCGACTGGTCAGACCCCTGAGCGGTCTTGCCACGCTGACCACCCGCCTTAGCTGGAGATGTTCCCGCCCTCGCACGCTTCGCAACCAAGGGAGCATTCGATTCCTGCGGTCTTTTCCCAGCAGCCCGCATCACAGGAACAGATGCAACGACCGCCTCCGCAACCACACTGGGAGCCGCCGTCATAGTAACTGAAGGAGCAGCACCTTCAACGATCGGATCGGGTGAAGAGACAGCGCCAGTCCTCACCACCTTCACTGACTTCTTCTTCGATTTAGGACGGTTAGCAGCCGCCAGGTCCCGCAACCCTGCAAAAAGGCCGCATAAGTAAAACGACATGAGAAGGAGAAACACATGAACAGTTAAGCAAATTCTCACTAACCATAAAAACCACGAACATGCTGGTAGGCACTCTCTGGGCCGCTGTGCCGCACACGCAATTGGAAACCCTCGACAATGCGGGTCACATGGTCCTTCACCGATTGGGGAAACTGGGTGGACGCACACCACGCCTCCTTGGTACCAACCGCGTAACCGGTTGGCGGTTCTGAATCCCCATCATACCATTTCCACGATGGCCTCGCAAAAAAGAATTCCCTGTACCAAGGCGAATCCAATTTGGGCGACCCTTTGATAAATCCAACATGAGCTTCCCGCCTTCTGATCGACCAACAGTTAGTCGAATCGTGGATATTATAGATCATGCGGAAAGCATCAAAAGACGACTCTTCCCCGAGGCGATCACACGCAAGCCAATACATTACAGAGTGAAAAATGATGGTCGGTGAAAGACGTCCCAGCGAGCAACCAAGCAAGTGCAATACTCTGGTCAAAATGGGATCAAGAGGAAACCGTAACCCAAGCTTCATATGCTTGACATGGATGGGAATCCAACCAACTGGACAGGATCCAGAAGGAGCCGCATAATGCCAATCAGGAGGAAGGTTCAGCGACCTCAACCGAAAGAGCACTTGATCGGGCTTGAAGACCGTCTTGTGTTTTGGTCCCAAAGCGAACACGTCAGCAGGAACAGGTTGACCGCCCCACATTCCATCATGTCGAAGCACAGTATACACGGAGTCCTTGACCGCGATCGGCAGCGGTTCTCCTTCCGCAGGCTCCACTATTTCTAATGAGGACGACGTACTTAGGAGTGCCTCAGAGCGCACACCATCACTGTCGACCGCCTCATCCTCATTCAACGATATACTATCTCAACCTACCCGACCAAAATCACCCATATTATCCCCAACCGCGGATGAAGTGGCCATACCCCCAGCTGGTACAGGGCGGATGTTAGCAAAAGAGTTATCTTAATCTAAATCTAAATCGACTCCGACAAGACAATCGCGCAATTCAAAACCACTCCCCATGTATAATTCTAGCTCAGATAAATCCCACACGCACTCTGAGGCGGTTCGAGTGGGAGAAGAGCGGGTTATACCTTGGGAAAGGGAGGTGGCTCCGCCAGAAGGCCCCGCTTTCTTCCTCAAAGGAGCAGAGGGCGACAAGGGTACTCTCGGAGCGGCTTGATTCTTCTCGGGGACCGCCTCAACAGTGGTATCTGCAAGGGACGCTTCGGCGGTGGCGGCGGCGGCGTTGCTTCCCGCCGCGGCGGAGATAGTGTGGTCATCGCTCGACATTTTCCGACGCTACACCAAGCCCGCCGCCGGAGTACGAACCAGCAAGCCGAACGCCCAGCAAAAGGCGCGATCGCGCGAAAACCGAGAAAGGACAGCGAAATCGGAGGAAAGAAGAAGAAGAAACCGAAAAGCAAAACACAAGGGAGTCAAAGAACTTACCTGAGTTAGCTCGAGTTTATAAAGCTCGACAAAAAGGGAGAGCTCCAACTCTGTCAAAGAAGAAGAGGGGAAGGAGACGAAGAGTTTTCCGAAAGAGGAAGCAAAAATGGCAGAAAAAGCTCTCCCATGGCCATTTAAACGAAAGAAGAGGGTTCCAAACCCGAGGATGACGTTTCGCCTCCTCGCGTCAGAGCACCACTCTCGAGGTGCGACGCGTGGCATTTGCCCAGTCACTCGAAGAGGCGCGCACGCCATAAAACCGCCCCTCAGGCGATCCGACTCCACGCACGCACTACCAGGGCCAAGTGGGCGATCATGGACAAGGCGACCCATAACCGCTTAATGATACCAAGGCAGTCAGTTAGCCGCGCGAACCTAAAGCCTCCCACGCCTAAGGGGCAAATGTTGGGACAATCATTAAGGCATATGGGCCTCCGAGCCCACGACAACTAAAAAGCCCAATAAAGCGAACAAGCCCAATCCAGAGGATTAGGAGGCGGTCTACCCGTCGCACCTAATAAGACCGCCCAACATACAACGGAAACAAAACAGGACGCCCGACAGAGGATATAGTCAACGTCCTGACAACAAGGTACAGATACTGAACAAAGTACGGACCTGACCAAACATTTATGGGAAGTCAGAGGCGGTTGAAGACCGCCCGACACAGTGTCGGGCCGCCCGACATAACGTAACTTGTCCTCACTCCTATGCTCAACTAGTATAAATACCCATCAACGGATCACATTTATGGTAACTTCTATCTACTCCATTCTCTCTCTTATTCACTCTATCCACTTCTCTCACTAACTTAGGCATCGGAGGAGGTCCAGGGCTCCCCTGAGGATCTTTGTTGCAGGACTTCGAAGGTCGCCCCTCATCCTCCCAAGACCGCACGGAGACAGTGAAGCCTCGCAAACCGCCCGGTACTTACCAGGTATAAACAGTGATGAATTGAGATTCTTTTTGTGGCCAACTCTCTTGCTAAAATCCAACTAATTGAGAGTAAATAACACACCCATCCACCTTGCCTTTTGTATGTGGAGGCATGGGAAAGTGATCTTTTTAATTCATGTGTATGTGGTAAATGGTGGGTGGTAGAATTTCCACCTCATTTTTGCCTAAGGCCACGTTGGTGTTGACTCATCCATCTTTCTCCACCTCTTATCCAAGTTAAAAGGGTTGGATAAGTTTGATGATTGGTGGTTTGAGTGAGGAATAGTACAGGTAAGGGTTCCATTACCATCCATCAACTAATTGCTCTTAATAATTCGTACACATGGAAAATGGCAGGTGATGATGTGTTAATACATCATTTGGTTGGAGGTAAGCAAATAGAAATCGCCATCCACATGGGTTTAGCTTTAAGAAACCATTCCATGGATGTAATTTGGTTTGATGGGGTTATTTTGGAGGGGAGAGCACCCAAACCCAATGTTTGAACCAATAGTAGATACCAACACCATTAACTTACACATATATATGATTTTATCATTATTCTCCTTGTGATCACCTAAAAATGGTTTGTGACGGTTGTGTGATGTTGGTTGAATATTGGGTCTATCAGTTATATACGGAATTAATTTCATATTTTAATATTGAAACTATGATAATTTTATTTGTGGTGAATTGTAATAACCATCCATTCTCTAATTTTTCATTACAAAAATGTGTAAAAAAAAGTGTACATAATGGTAGCGGCAAAATGCAACGTAAAAAGAAAATTCAAAATTGTTAAAATTTGGCTTTTACCTTCTCAGAATAGCGTTTTTTTCCGCCAAAATTTGCGTGTCTTTTGAATTCGTCCCCCAGAAACGTTTCCTTCATTCTGACCCCCCATTCTCATTCTATCTTGCATGTCGTCAATCTGAGAGAGAGAGAGAGAGAGGTGATGGCGGTTCCGCGTTTCTGCCGACGAGAAGAGAGAAAGAGAGAGTTGACGATTCCAATCATTCCATCGACTGGCGACGGCGGTTCCGCGTAGCTGCCGATGAGTTGCTCGGTTGATGAAACCTGGTGGATTTGGGGATGTTCCTATCGGTTGTGTTAGGCGAAGATGCTCCAACTGGAAGATAAAGAGTTAGTGAAATCTCGCGTTTCCTTCTCCTTTTCCTTCCCCGAATTTTTGGTTTTCGTTTTCAGTTCTTTGATTTCCTCTTTGTTTGGCACGAGAGGCATACAAAACAAATCTGGATTGGTAAGAGCGGCAGCTATGGTCTCATTCCCTCGGATTAAAAAGGCCCCCTAAGGAACGATTCCAGGTAGTTGCTATGCAAGTTTTCATTTCGTTTCTTTGAGTTCCTATAAAAATCAGGACATGACTGGATACTCCCCAATTACCGAGTCCAAACTTTGGGTTTCTGAACTCGTTTCTTTTATTTCGTTTTGTTTTCATGTTGATTTGAGGCTTGCGAATCGGGGGAGGAGGAGGAACTTGAAGGAACTTCGAGGAGTTAAGGTGCTTCGAGGAGGCCATGAATGGGAGCAGCACAAGCAGGGTACTGGGCATCGAAAACAGGTATCTATGCCTCGAGTGTTTGTTGACAGATCTGGCCTTTGTTGATAGATGGGTTCAAAACAGAACATAAAAATAATCTAAATAGAACATAAAAGTCATCTAAATAGATCAGAGCTACTTCGTTCAGTTCTCGCGGCAGATTTAGTAGGGTAAGCCCTTACTAGACCAAGTCTTGTAGCACTCTCCTGTAACCTCCTAAATTGCTGATGTTTTTGCCGGGGAATATCATTTTCATTTCTTGTCCTTATCTTGTCTCGGTTGTCTTTTAGTCCTTGTTAGCACACTGACGATTTGTTTGTCTTCTTTGTATGTTCAGTTTCCAATAGGGATAGATTCAGAAAGGGTTATATCAGCGCTTAAGCTCCCTAAGGTGCAGGAGCACCTAAAAGAACTGACGGAAAGGTTTCGTGGCCGTAAGGTTTAATATGAATTTAACCTCCATACGCTGTTTTACTTGCTTAAGAGAAAGCAACCTGCTGATTAAAGTCACTGGCTTAGTTTCTTCATTCTTGAATGTAAACGTCCTACTCTTTAATAGGTGATGCTAGGGGTTGATCGTCTCGATATGATTAAGGGAATACAACAGAAGATACTTGCATTTGAAAAGTTTCTTGAGGAGAACCCTCTATGGCGTGATAAATTTGTTCTGCTGTGCCAACAAGAACTAATGTTCCTGAATGTAAGCTTCCTAGTTATCTTGATTCATACAGCAAAAAGAAAACATGCCTTATTCTTGTTTGGAGTATTCATTTGAAGTACTAATAAATTATATTTGTCACATGTGTACAGATCAGAAACTTACAAGTCAGGTTCATGAAATCGTTGGGCGCATTAATGGCCGATTTGGGACACTAACTGCTGTTCCAATACATCACCTGGTTTGTTACTGTCAACTTAACTCATCCTCTTTCCATATGTTTTGTAAGTTGTTAGTGGAAACAATGGAAGCTGTTTCCGGTCTTTCCATGTAATATCGTGATTAGTTCTTTTACGTAAATTTGGTCACCAGAAGGCTGGTGATTGTATCCTGAAATAGACTTCTGTTAATGCAGGATCGGTCCTTGGATTTTCTACACAAGTATCCTTAGTAGGATTTCGACTCTGTGTGCTTATGTCATGACCTCTATTCCCGTCTTGCAGACGTGGCGATTGTAACCTCATTGTGAGATGGAATGAATCTCGTTACTTATGAGTTTGTAGCATGCCAATATTCAAAGAGAGGTGTTCTTATTCTTAGCGAGGTACTTAGATATTAGTCAGCCGATTTCAATTCATTCTCATAGAACTCAAATTATATTTTAGAATGCATTGTCTTTGTCTTTGTGCCCCAGTTTGTCCATTTAAAAAACATTGCCTCGAGAAAAGGACTAGAATTATTTCTAAAATACTTACAGAACTGAACATATCCTAGATTGAAGAATGCACCATTTTTCTTTCGTGGGACCGACTTCTCTGGAGTGCAATTTCAAATACTTACAACCCTCGTGTATTTTTTTTTAATGAAAACTACCATCGTGTATTTGAGTTGCATCATTCTAATGCATTTGAGATTACAGTGCCTAATACACTCAAACAAATCAAAAGTGTCAACGAAAAATGATATATTTGTTCAATTCTATTGATAGTATATCTCTTCGTAATGCAGTTGAGGCCTCAAGGAAATCTGAAGTGGACAAATTGAAAAAGCACTTCAGACTGGAGGTAAATTACGCATTTCCAATGTCACTGTTACAATTTTAGGCGGCTATACTGGTTAGACACATGAATGGGTTTCCATATATTTGGCTTCAACATCTGATTCAAAGATCTACCTGTTCTTATGCTGACAGTTTATGGAGGAGCAACCCATGAGGCATTAGCTAGCCAGGTCTGCTTCACAAAAAAAAAAAAAAAAAACAAAACAAAGAAGAAAAGCCAGGTATGTCCTTTCAATTGCAAACAGTTCATGTCCCGCAATGTACCCTTCGTCCAACAAAAATATGAAGTGTCGATGGAGTTTACTTTTGTGAAATATACCAAGATAAAAGATTTTGTCCCCTAAAATCAATAATAAAATTGTAAACTCAATAAAAAGTGGTCATTGCTTTCCATGGGCGTTTCAACTTCTTGCTATGGAAGTGCTAGTGAACTTCATTTGTTTTTCTTGATGCTTCTGTTCTTTGCACCACGGGTTCTAGTCTGATGTTGTTTCTGTAGACCAAAATAAGAAAAAATAATATTAAACATGTAACTTCCAACACAAAGAATCATCTAATCTTGCTGGTTAAATCTTTAGTGTGATTGGAAAAGTACCAGTTCATGTTCATCGCTTGGACGATCATCATGCCGACTAGTACTCCCAGCACTATGTCCTGTATGCTTCTTAGCTCCCTTCTCTGCTCCCTTCTCTTGTTGATTAGTATTGCTCCTAGTACGTGCCCCGATCTGTTAGAGGGTAAATAAACTCTTAAGCTAATAGCCATTTCTAACAAATCGATAATTTAGTGAATAAACAAATGATACATAACCTTCTGTTGTGGCTGACTTTTTCGTATGGGCTCTCCAGTAGTATTATGCCTGCTCGTTCGTTGCTTCTGGTAAAAACAAAATAACAACTGTAGGTTATTAACTCTAATAACTATATCAAGAACACCTAACCAGAGATGCTAATTACCTTTGGGGGCTGACCACCTTGGTCATCATCTCCATCATCGTTGTCTCCATCTTCTCCGTCGTCCCCATCATCGTCCCCATCATCGTCCATGTCATCGTCGTCATCCTCCTCATCAGATTGAGATTCTACCACGTCGGCTGGGGGGTTAGTGCAAGTGCTCCTATAATGCCCATCCCTTAGCCCGCAGTTCCCACACTTTCTTCTTTTTTTCTTAAGTTGTTTTTTCCCTTTTCCTTTCCTACAACCCTTAAACCTCACTTGATTTGGGTTCAATACATCTTTGAACTGGTCTGGTATGACAATCCTTTCTCTCTCGGCGGGGGTTTTCTTTACCATCTCCAACTTGTTACACGCTGCTGTCAACTCATCTTGAGCCATTCGGTAAGAGAGAGGAGTGTCTGCTCCTAATAAGCAGAATCGTTGAGCCATGAACTGTAGCGACCCGTACCTAATGCTGAAACTGCTGTCATCCCCCAATGTACTTGGTTCTGGCAGAGTGTGTAGGGACTTTGGGTTCTTCGAGCAACGTCTGAGTACCAGTTTTTCAGGAATAGTCTTCACTTTTTCTTCTTTGAGAACAAATAGCATATGAACGCAGGGTATCCCAATACTCTTAAACTTTTGACAACTGCACTCCATATCGCTTGTTTCAATGTTGTATTTCACCTCTATGACCTTCTCTTTGTTGAACATGGTAACAGTGTAAGTGTGTAGGTTCCCCTCTTCAGTTTGGTTACCCTTAATGACTCCAATAACCTCCTCCAACTCATTTTTGAACAAAAGAAATGCAGCCTTTGAGAAAAGCTTTGCTTCACTTTGCTCGAGGGGCTTTAGGATTGAATTCTTTATAGGAACTACACCATAATTAGACTCAAAATCTAATCTAATCTCTGTCTCTCTCATGTCTCTGAGCCACCGGTCGTATTGAGTGAAAAAGTCAAGCAAACAGAACATCTCATTTTCATACCTTGCAACAACCGCATTTATGCTTTCACATCTTGATGTGGTTGTCAACCCAGCAAAGAAATATGAGCGCAAGTATGTGTCCGCTCATTCGTTGCGTCTCCCAAATAGTTTTTTTCGACACCCATTGGTTGTTCTGGAGTTCGCATTCCTCTACCAATGCATTCCATTTCTCCTCAAATTCTTCTGGCTCGTACTCAGCAGTTACTAACTTCTTCCACCGGGGGTTCAAAGTCGGGTCGATTCTTCACCCTGCCAGTGATATTCTTGGACAAATGCCATGCACATAGCCTATGTGTTGCATTTGGAAACACATTAGCAATAGCTTTCCTCATTGCTTTATCCCCATCCGTGACAACTGTACGTAGCGGAATGTCCCCCAACATTTCCTTCACTATCTTCAACGCCCAAATATAGGTTTCGTCAGTCTCATTGGGCAACAGTGCACTCCCGAATAAGCAAGTTTTGAAGTGATGGTTGATACCTACAATGTCAAACAGAAACTCGGAAAAATCAGAATCTTTTGAACCAGCAGGAGAAAAGCTAAAACTGTGAGGAATATGTAAACAATCGTAGAGTTCATATAATCAGAAACCTGCTGTTTTCTAAATGCCGTTATGTGTATTCAAACAACAAAGCAAAGGATAATACTTAGAGGGCATACTAGGATGGCGTACCTGTAAAAATGACCAGTGGCATATTGTAAATGTTTTTTTGGTACGTTGTGTCAAATGCGAGCAACTCTCCAAAACACGAAATGTCGGCTCTGCAAATGCTGTCAGCCCAAAATAAAAAATGGAGCCTTTTTTGCTCATCAGTAGTGTATTGGAGGAGGAAGTGTGGGTCTGTGCTTTTCTTTGATTCTAGATAGGCCAGTGCAGTTGCTGCATCACCCTCGCTGATTCTCTCAGCGCGGTCTTTGGTGCTGAAATTTAACCCATCTTTAACTGTATACCCAAGTTTGTCATGCCCTCCAGCACAATGCACAGCAAGCTTAATGGCCTGAGAAGGTTTCATTCCGGCATCCTTTTTAAATCGGAGGTCTGCCTTGTCTGCTTCTGTTAATCCTCGATGCGACCTCAAGTAATGTACCTGATTCTGCCTAACTGGGTCATGAGTGT